CTACTACTGGTACTACTACTGGTACTACTACTACTACTACTACTACTACTACTACTACTACTACTACTCCTGCTGCTACTACTACTACTACTACTACTACTACTACTACTACTACTACTACTGCTAGTGCTGCTACTGCTACTGCTACTACTACGACGACGACGACGACACTACCACTACTACTTACTACTACTTCTTCTTCTACTGGCTACTTCTACGTCTACTACTGCTTCTGCTGCTACTACGTGCGCGAACCAGGCTGGGTTTCGGAGGCCAAGGGTTGAGGCCGCAAGCCCCCAAAAGACCCTGGAATCTGCCGGTGGAGGCCGGAAACTTTGAACTTTGACATGTGAGCCTATAGTCTCCATTGTAGTTCCTTGTTTTTTTAACCAATTTTATATTTAGGATCCTATAAGGTAACCCCTAAAAGGAGCTGCAATGGAGACTATGGGTGAGGTTTCTACATTGTCTAGCCTACAACCCTGGAGACGCAGGCGGTGTAGGCGACATGATCCTGGACCCCTAATGTAGGGGCCTTAGTAATTAGAATAGGGTTTTGGGGCCCAACATACTACAACTGTAATAAGGAACCCCCCCAAATAGTATTGGTAATTATTGAGGCCCCTACATCAAACCCTGAACCCTCAACTTAGTGCCTTGAACCCCAGTGGGACTAGGGTTTAGGGTTTAGGGTTTAGGGTTCTGGGTTTAGGGTTTAGGGGTTTAGGGTTTAGACGTGTAGGGGCCTGCAGCAAGGCCCCGCGCTCCGCAAGGGCCTGACACAGGGCTCCAGCTCAGAGCTGCAAGAAGCTTTTGGCTCCAAGGGCTGCGTTTCTATACGGGTTTAGGGTTTAGGGTTTAGGGCTTTAGGGTTTAGGGTTTAGGGTTTCAGGGTTTAGGGTTTAGGGTTTAAGGGTTTAGGGTTTAGGGGTTTAGGGACCTTCAGCTCGAACCCAGCCCTTCAACATGCCCTAAGTTTAACAACCCCCTATGGCTAGATGGCAGTAAAAAAAAAAGCTCTTAAGCAGAAGAGACCCGTTGGGGGAACTCGGATCCGCCACTGGCCCTGAGGCTTGAGGAAATGAGTCGTTTTCTAGATTAGGGTCCCGTTTTGGGGATCCTTTTTAAAAGGGTGCCGTAATATATTGGGGATCCCAAAAAAGGGACCCGAATTTAGAGACATTCCCAACTCAGGGGCTCTGTCGGACTTTGGTCTACGCGGCGTTTTTGTCGCTGGATCTTGGGATTTGGGGCTCCAGGCTGCCTGGATCTTGGTTCAAGCAGGGCATGGGCATGGGATCTACCCATGGGCCCTAAAGTAGTTCCTTTTTGGGGGTTCATATTTAGAATCCTATAAGGTAATCCCAAAAAGGAACTACTATGGGGTCTATGGTAATCCTAAACTCAAAAACCGAACGTATGTAAAGATACCAAAACAAGGAAACCGACAACAAAAGAAGCAGGCCTCTCAGGGTGCACGTAGGCTTTGGACCCTAAGCCTTAACCCTAAACCCTGAAACGACCAAGCCCTAAACCCTATACCCTACACCCCAAAGCTTCACTTACTTGGGGGATTTAGGACTGCAGAGTCGAAAGCTTTTGGGGTTTGGCCCTTAACAATTGGAGTGGGCTTGGGGGGCCCTCCTGCTATGAACATGTAGGGACTATGAGTCACTCTGAGAGAAGGCTGTTACTAATTCTTCCGGCCCCTGTATGAGGCCTAGAACCAGGGGGTCGAAAGCCTCAGGGGTTTGGCGTTTAGGGTTTGGGGGTTCAGACGCGAAAATGCTGTCGAAAGGTTGGGAAGAATCACGCTGCAGGTATATGTAGTCCCATCTTCATGAGTTCCTTGGGGTACATCAGCTCTTTTCCATCGTTGGCACCAGCCCCATGCGAGAGGGGAAGGCCAATGTGGCTGGCCGACTCACCTGTCAGTCTGTCAGTCCAGCCAGCGTCGCAGAAGCACTGTGTGGTTTTGACGCGTGGAATTTTGGTGGGGGGGATGGGGGGGTGGGGGGGGAGCGGGTGGGCGGTGCTGGGCGGAGAGAGACACGGTGCCGCGCAGGTTGGTTGGGGTCGCGGCAGTAATGAGCGTAGCAGTACGCGCAGTCCACAGTGACAGTAAGAGTGACGGCAACACATAGTAGTAACAGTGAAGACAAAGTAACAATAGTAGAATTTCGAGTACTAGTCGAAACGAAACCAAAACGATAAACGGAGCAATAGTAAGAACAGTAACCATGGTGATAATGGTGGTAATCATCATCATCATCATCACCACCATCATCAACATCATCATCATTATCATCACCATCATGATGACCACCATCATCATCATCATTGTCGATACCAACATCATTGTCATCATTGTCATCATCATCATCATCAGCAGCACCAGCAGCGTCAGCAGCATCACCATCATCATCGACATGATCATGATCATGATCATAGTCACAGCGGCGGCAATTGTATTAGTCGTAGCAATAATCAACATTTTCATTGTTGCTGTACTGTACTAGACAAGCCGTGATACATGTCGTCATACAGGTGATAGTAGCAGTAGCAGGAACACTAAACTTAAGAGCAACAGAGCCACTCTAGATTGAGATCTTCACTTCAGGAGCCGTTCTGGACTATGCCCCGACAACTGTGGTTTACACGATCTTAGACTTTGATATGTTCGTTGATCCCTGCTTGACTTGTGTTTCATACATATCCCCTCCATCTAGGATACATTTAGGCCCGTGCCGTAATGATCGGCTATGCATCCGAATGCTTTCTCGTGTGCTCGTGCGCACCGGCTCGAAGCTCGTGTTTGCCGATGTTGACAGGCTTGTTGCACTTCTTGGTCATGCGACCAGGGGCCTTCACCCTGAACAGCAAGAAATGTAAGCGTACGCAAAACTGAAAATCCGAAACTTAAAAACCCGGGTCGAAAGCTAACAGAATCCGTTTCGAACGGTTCTATCAGCCTTCATAGTCACTAGAAGGGCTAAACACTTCCAGTAGTAGCAGCATAACCTAACAAACCTCAAAGCAGACCTGTACCAAGGAGTCCAGGACGGCACTGCCGGCTTTCGCCAACTCTGCTGCAGAGGCGCCAGCACCGGGAGCCTACGGCTGGGCGGTTGCGACATAGCCCAGTGTTCCCGATTGAGGGTTCACCCTTTGAGTCTTCAAATGTTCACGCTTCTTAGGCAATTGATGGGGGGGTTTCCGAAAATAGGGGACCCTAATATAGCACCCTGAATAGTAGGATCCTTGTTATAAGGACCCCAAAACAAGGTACCCCTTATTTTCGGAAACTCCCATGTATGACAATCCGCGTGAAGACGAGGGATTCAGGTTCGGTGTCTAGCCTGTAGGACTGTGGCGCTTCAGGGCCTAGGGCTTTCTCGGTTCTCTAGGGGTTAAAGCTTCTGTTTTTGCTGCTTTAAGGCTCAGGGTTTAGGGATACTTCGACTTATGGTCCCATGGAAGCAAAAGGCGAAGCGTCAATTTACTTCAACTGTTAACTGCCACAGAGTAGCTGAAAAGTTGGGTACTGGAGAGCTAGTGCCGTGTCAATGACGGTAGAAGCACGAGCTATCACTATACAAGCTGTATGAAATAGTATGAAATCCTGTGAAGCCTATAGTAGGGTTTTAGGCTTTATTGTTTAGAGTTTTAGGGGTTCGGGTTTTAGGGTTTGGGGTTGTAGGGTAGGGTACAAGTGCTCCCAGGATTGTAGAGGATTTCCAGGTCATGCTCGGTGTTTATGTCAGTCGCACACTCTAGAGGCCTTCAAACCCTAAACCCTTAAGGTTCAGGACCCTGAACCTTAGGACCCTGAACCTTAAACCCTAAACCCTAAACCCTAAACCCTATGAACCCCAAACTCTTTGCCCTAAGCTGTGGTCCGAGCTTTCCCCGAGGCCCAAAACCCTCCCCAGGCCCTTGTAAGCCGAAAAAACCACAAAACTGCTGAAACCCTGAAAACCTCAAAAGCTGAAAGGCCCGGAAACTGAAAAATTATGGAAACCCCAAAAGGCCACAAACCCTGCAGTAGCCCTGGCTAAAAAACCCTAAACTTAAACCCTAAACCTACAGATCCCTTCTAAGAAACCTTATAGACCCCTCTAAGGGAACCCTAAACCCTGACACCCCTAAACCCCAAAACCCCCTAACCCCACACTGCTCGAAACCCCTAAACCCTAAATCCCGAAACCCCTGAAGTTCAAACCCTAGACCCCTAAACCCTTAAAACTTAAATCCTCAACCACTAAACCACTAAAGTTTAAACCCCCTAAACCGCTACAGTTTAGGGTTTTGGACCGAAACCCTAACACCCCTGAACCCCAAACTGCTCTAAACCCCTCCGGCCTGGTTCGCCCAAGCCCTCTCAGCCAGGTCGGAGAATACGGCCACCGCGATGGCAGCTGAACGTCACAAGGCACTATGGGTTTAGGGTTTAGCTAGGTTCAGGGTTTAGGGTTTAGGGTTCATAGGGTTCAGAGTTTAGGGTTTCGGGTTTCGAGGGGTTACACGGTTCGAGGGGCTAAGGCTTCACAGGCTCCGGGGCATCGCGGTAAGCTGAGGGGCATGAGGGCTGTAAGGGTTGAGGCACTACGGCTCATTGTTTCTATTGTAGGACTATACACCCTAAGCCCATAGATCTTGAGGCAACAGGCTTTGGGGCTTTGGTGCTTTGGGGCTATCTTGTCTTGTAAAGCTTTAGGGTTGAAGGATGTAAGAGGTTTAAGGATCAAGTGGGCTTGAGGGCTCTCTAGAGATGAGGGGTGCATGGGGTTTAGTGCATAGGTTCTATAAAGTTTACGAACTTGAATTCGTGCAGACAGGGTGAGGGATCAAAAAAAATTAAATCAGGATCAAAAAAAATTAAACCACAAAGATCAAACAAAAATTAAAACCAGGATCAAAAAAAAAACGCAGTAGGAATGCAACAAAGCTTGGGAAAAA